CAACAACAACAACCTCAACAGCAACAAACGCTGCAGCCATGGGTGAAACAGAATCAAAAGACCAGGCGCAAATCGAGAAAGTCACAACGCCGCAGGGTGGTCCTGGAAAACAACGAGATTGTCATTCCCGGTGGCTTGTCCTCGTTGGATCATTCTTCGCACGCGAACGATGACGAGGTGTCGAGGGGAGGGATCAGCGACATTACCGAAGACTACCTCCGGATTCCCTTTTCGTCTCCCCTGTACAGCAAGGTGTTGCAGGCCTTTCGCGAGGCCGCCCTCCAGAGAGATGTGTACGGTGGGATTGATGACGAGGACTACGAGGATGGCCGTGACATTTACGAACGCGACGGAGGGAAACTGAGCCACGTCGTGTCGGTTACCCTTTAGGAAATGTTGAGATTCAAGCAAACGATAGAAGGTGGCAACATCGGAGACTGCGTGCCTCCGCATTCCGTCCCCCCATCCTCTCGTTATGGAGAGGGAGAGAACGCTGGCTTGTTCGTGAAGCTGCGATCCACAGAGATGGTTGGAGGTAACGCGAGCCCGACGACGGTGTTGGCGAAACGAGCGGGTAGGGGACAACTTCACCACGTCGTCGTAGGGAGCAATGGCACCGTGTAAGAACTACCGTACCGGTTGCCTGATACTATATGGAATAGTTTTATGGATGCTGTTAAGCTCACAACATTCATGAACCAGAGCAAGAAAAATAAATGCATAATTACTCGCACTTCGACTACAGTACGAACCATCGTGTTACTTAACGCTGTTTCCCCTCCGTGGCTATACCTCGTCGAACAACAACCATTCAACCRCTCGTTCTTGCTACTATTCAGAAGTACGGTACCGAGAGAGAGATAGAGAGCGCATTGCACTCAATCGCATTCCATATCGGCACTGGTATCCACGGCACCCTCGGGAACCATATTGTCGCTGTTGTTGCTTGCTGTTGTCGTTTGTGGTGGTGAAGTTGCTGCTGCCGCTGCTGCAGTCTTTGCTTCTTCCGCCGCGTGTTCTCTGTGTTTCATGACCAGCGCCTCCAAAAGCACGCCCTCTTTTTCGGGTGGCTTGGATATCTTGGTCAGSAGTTCCAGTTCGTGGTTGCGGACCATCCGTTCTTCTTCCGATAAACGATTGTGTGCTCCCTTGGCGGAAGCAATCATTCTACGTCAAGACAAAAAAGCACAATGCAGTACAAGACAATACCATGTAGTGAACCAAAGGAATTCAAAACASATTCATGATTACATAGTGAGCGGGTAAATGGGAAGTTTGTAGTAACCACAAAAGGCAAGAAAAGGAGGCAACAATGTCAACTTTTGGAATCCAACCTGGTTTTGTGGCTTGAAACATACACATATCCGTGCACTCGCTATGCCCAAGGAAACCCGAATCCAAAACGAAACGAAAACGCAGGGCTCGCTTCACTTACTCTTCCATTTCCAGTTCCAGGCGGTCTTCCCATCCCGGTCCAAAGTAGAGCTGGACGGAATGCGAGGAAACGGCCCGGAGCGAGGGATCGCCATCCGTTCCGAGTTCGCCGTCCCCCTTGAGGGAAATCTCGGTGTTGCCACCGCCCCCGTAGACCGTGGCGGGCCGGACGTCCGGATCGGCCAGGGCCCGCTCGATGTCGGCCACCSCGAGCTGCTCSCCCGGCGGGAGCTCGCAGAGCGACCGGGCGGAGGGATTGGCCTCGTTGCGCAGGAAGATGGCCTTCTCGACGATCCTCCCCAGCCGGTCGTAGGCCAGAAATGCCAGCGCCTGCGTGGTTTCCTCGTCCGGGGGGTACAGGTTGGGGGGGTCGAAGCCCAGCCAGTGCAGGAAGCGGATGGCCCTCGCGTTGAGGTTTTCCCACTCCCCCCGGGCGTGGCGGCCCTTTTTCTTCCGGCGCAGCCGGTCCCACTCGGCCTCGAGCCGGTGGCGGCTGCCCTTCCCGGGATGGCCCGGGCTCTGCCGCGAGGATCCCCCGCCGCCCCTCGCGCTGGGGAGAAARGACCCCAGCCGCACCTTGGAGTATTCGATGTACCAGTCGTTCTTCATCTGGTCCGTCCGAAAGTCAAAGTTTGCCGCTCGTTCTCGTAGGTGCCCCCCGTCCACCGCCGGGTCGTTGCTGCTGTTGTTTTTGTTGTTGTTGTTGTTGCCGTCTTCRTCCTTCCCGTTCTCGTCGTCCCCGTCGTTATCGTTGTCGTTGCCGTTCTCTTTCGAGTTGTTAAAGTCTTCGTGCATTTCGTGGCAGCGCTGAAAGGCCCTCATTTCCTCTGGATACAAATGCGTCAGTTCTTCCATGTGGAAACCGGACTTGTGGGCATAGGAGAGCTTGTCGGTTCCCTCTGCCAGCGCTCGATAGAGCAACCGGGGATCGATGGAATTTGCGGCGGCGTGTTTTGGGCCAGCAACAGGCGTGGGCGTCGCTGCGTTTTCGCCTGCGGTGGCAGGTGACGCTGCGGTTGCTGCTTTGCTGGGAGTCGACGAATCATCGGCTTGGCCCTGCCCAAGCGCTCTCCCTGGCTCTCCCTCTTGCTCCTTCCGCTCGGCCGCCCACGCCGCGGCAGCCGCCACGGTCGGCGTCTTTTTGCTCTGGTGGCGCCGGTCGTACTTGGTGGCGAGGACCGCCTGGGCCTCCCGGTACTCGGCCTGGAGGCGACGGCGGACCTTGCGGGCGTCCATGATCGACACCTGCAGGGCCCTGCGGGTCCCCCCCAGGGCCAGCGCAAGGGCCCCCGGGTCCGGCCGGGGCCCGTCCCCGAAGGTGGTCATCATCTTGGCCGCCTCGGTTCCCATGGGGATATCGGAGATCCGGTCCCGGTACTCTTCCAGCGTCTCTGCACCTGCTTGCGGTTCCGTCTGCATCGGATCCGTGTGGTCGTGCTTTTTCTTGCTGTTCTTGCTGTCGCTCTGTGTTTCGTCGGTGCTTCCGCGCCGTCGTTTCCTGGTGCTAGTT